TGGATCCGCCCTTGCTAAACTAGCATACCTTTAGGTAGACGATACGAACAGGTACAATGCTTCTAAAAGTGTCTCTAATTTCCATGGATTTATTTGGCAAGTTTTCTACTTGTGTGGCAGGAAACTGCATGATTTTCGCCCATGCAACTGGCTCGCTTTTGAACCAACAGTTCTGCAATTCCTTCTGCTCATCATACTCGTTTTCTCCGGAGAAATACGATTTTTTCTTGTCCTTTTTATTGCCTTTTTTCTTCGGATTTTTTGCTGCTATTTTGGGTATTTCCTCGGGTCCTGTTGCATCCGCATCGGGGACTGGAGGTTGATTAGCGGCCGCTTCTTCAACTGACCCACATTCAGACAGTAACGGAAAATTCACTTCTACATGGATGGTTTGCGCGTTCTTTTTCTGTAATTATGGCTATTTGAAAGCGGCAACTTCAACTGCGTGGAGGTTTTACGTCTTTTGGAGGCTCGGGCAGGCCCATAATCCTGAAGCATTGGAAAATCAGTTGCGGGAGGCAGTTGGTTTTCGGTTCACCATAGATTTGGCGGTCAGTTTCCAGGATTTTCCGGCCGTCCAGAATAAGTAAATGAGGCAGCAGCCTCAATGTGCTTGCTCTATAGCTGGGCAGCATCTACAGATTTATTCTATAGCTTTTTAGAGCTTCGGTTGAATGATAATGTTTAAAATCAGTTCGAAATGCCCTCAGGCTTGATCGGCTTTAAAACTTACAGAACATGGGTTGCCCTCTAGGGAGAGCGCGGTTAAACTGCTGCAGTTTTGAAGAGCGTGCAAAGTAGAGCTCAGGGCATGCATATCGTTATCGGACAGGTCCAGGCATTTCAAGCAGCAAAGTTGTTGCGTTGCGCCCAGCAGATGGCGGAGGCAATCTTGAAATGGAAATAAAAATCGTGATATTCAAACGAGCAGAATGGGATTGGACACAATACACACATTTTAACCATTTTTTGCATTAAGAATATATTTTTATTGCCCTGGTTTGGGTTATTCAAACATAAAAATTCGGCAGTCTGTTTTCAACAAATGTTTACTATGTGAAGCATAAACATTTGCAACGGGGTAGTTTTCGGATTAATTTTAAAACAATAATCCATTTGCAGTATTTTGCCCGATTTGCTTTGATGCAGCCAGCGATTAATGTGTATTTCGTGTGTTAACTGGACAATCCGAATTGTAATGTCCTGCAATGGTCCGGTTTAACACCGCAAAGTAAAAACGACTGTCGGTTTCCCCTTGGGCAATTTTCATAATTCGGCTCCCCTTAATGGATAGTTAATTATGGTGGCCCAGCAAGAATCATTTATCAGATTTTAATCAAATGTCGTGGCCTGGAATTAATAAAAATGGCCGAAAAAGCCCATAATAAAACTTATACAAACACACACACACCTCGAACTTGACGGTGTTGTATATTTAATGACTGATTGTTAAAAATACGAGTTCTGGTATTTTTCAATTTCGATTCGGGCAGTTTTACTCACTTGCGTTGCAATCAATTTTGAGATACGTGCTAATTGGAGTCAAATCTCCGCCTAAGCCCTTCGCGTATCCGATTCCTAATTAATCAATAAATTATACACCTTCTGGCTACACTCAAGCACTTTAATTAGGATATAACTATGATTTATCGCTCATACTGAGGACACAAGTTGAGGCATAGTATTTAAATTACTTGCCGTTCGATCCATACTTTATACAGGGTGATTCAAAATTGGCGTCATTCTTCTGGAGGTGTTCTCTGGGAGTACAGAAAAAATAGCAAAAAAATTAAATGTTATTAAAAACTCAGATATCTGCAAAAAACTAGATCAGAAGGATGGCAACAATGTTTTCAAGGTAATCTGCCTAATTAACATTACGTAAATGCCTGTTAATGTAATTATTAAGAACTCCGGTAACCATGGATAAACATGAAGCAAAGAAAATAAAGATCCTATAGATAAAGACGAGTGCTGCCATCTTTTTGGGGCAACTGAGTGATATATCTAAATAGGTCACAACTGTCATCCAAGACCACCTGTTAAACGTTATGTATCATTGATCCACCCATTTTGTGAAAGGAGCTTCAAAATAAGCCACAGTTTGACAAATGCTTGTCATTATTGACAAAGGCTGTCTACCTGTCAGTATCCGTTAATGACAAAAAGCATCATTGCCGCTTTGACTTTTCATCAAAAAATTGAAGAAGAGTACTTTTTTAATATAAAAAATTTTCGTAATTTGACAAAACGATCGTAATTTTCCTTTTCGAATGCTTAAGTATTCCAATAGGCTACCAATCAAACGTGGGACCTCTTCAAAATAAAGCTTAATAACAAAGGTGAAATCCATCTTCAACTGTTAATATCTTCTTGAAATGTTCGAAAAAAAATGTTTCAATATTTTTCTCGTACTCTCTAAGTGGGCCCCAATTTTGAATCACCCTGTATACGTATTTGACTAAGTACAGGATGTTCTTACTAACCTGTAGATAAATAGATATTTCTGCAACGAAAAGTGCCAACAACCATCGCAGACCAACATTGGCAACCGCGTTTCCAAAAACCGTTTTGGTATTGGAGATTTGATTGCGACAAAAGCCATCGGAAAAACGGTTGTGCATTATTAAAATGTTCCACCACGATACGAAATTAAATTAATAACTTATTTGATTCCGCTCGGGAAAAAATGTCACTAATAATTTTACACGAAACAAGCCGAAAAGGAATAAAATATCAAAAGTGGATGCAGCAGCGCGCATATCGGCCCAATTATTGTTATAATTAATTAAAAATAATAATTGGCCGAACCATCAATATGGCGCAATAAATGCACTTTAAATACTCATATTGTACATGCACGTCAGCATTTTTGAGCGCGATAGACGGTTTTTTATTATTTTTTGGAAGTTACATTTTAATCCCCTAATTTACCCTCCAAATTCCTGGTTTTATCAAAAATATTGTGTCGTTAAACCCGAGCGTTTTCCAAACCAACATTTGCTTCATGAGTGTTTATTTTCGGCTCTTCTCCTCTCTTATACCTACTAGATATCGTAGAATTTATAGGGTGTCCATAAAATTCAGACTTTTCCTTTTAAGATTGCTGCTATTAAAATTTCGAACTTTTGTAATGCGCTGCTGATAGATTCTAAAACACCAATCGATTATGCAG